CGAGGCGCCAAACACCACAGATGGTTGGGATCCCACGGTCGACCCGGTGTGGGTCGAGGTCGGTGACGGGAGGATGCCATGATGTCCTTCTCGTTTTTTTTTTTTTTTTTTTTTTTCTTTGTTTCTTTGTTTTTTTTTTTTTTTTTTTGTTTTTTTTTTTTTTTTTTTTTTTTCGTTTTTTTTTTTTTTTTTTTTTTTTTTTTTTCTTTTTTTTTTTTCTTTCTCGTTGGTTGGGTGTTCTTTTGTATCCTGGGAGTTGCTGGCCTCGAATGTTCTGTTGGTGGGGCTGGAGGGTCTCATGCTCTTGAATGATGTTTCTCTGTCCTGGGTTCGGCCGCGCTGGAGGACGTCTGTGCCCCTGCTGTCCCTGCTCACGTCTCTCCCTCCTCCGTCTCCTCGTCCCCGTCCTCCCCCGCCTCCTCCCGCCCCTCTGCCCCCCTTCGGTGGACGAAGAGAGAACGACGCCCTGCTGGGAGAGTGTTCAGCGGTGGCCGAAAACAGTGGGGCCCGAGCAGATGGGGTCGGAGGATCCCACGGCATCGCCGATGCACCGGCGATACGGTTCGACGTGGAGCCCGATTTTCTCCACGCCGACGTGGCCGATGCGTCGCCGATGCATCGGCGATGCGTCGGCGATGTGGTGCGATCCTGCGACCCCATCTGCTCGGCCCCAATTTGAAAGGCCTCCACGTTCTCCCTGCGGAGCTTGACGATCGCAAGTTCGGGCGCAAGGGAAGGCTGATGGGGGTTGCCGACAGGGCTTCTGGACCTGCTGCGCATGGGCCGCCACTGGACGTCATTCGTTGTTCACGATTCGCGATTCCTCATCCTCATCCTGCTCGCACTCCTTTCCCCCCCGGGGGGTCGGCGCGAGAGCGCGACGTTGTTCGCGACTCAGCACTTGGCTACACGGGACTCGGTTGGAACGGAGTCGACAGCAGTTGGGCAATGCTGCCTCATCCCTGCTTGCGCGATTCAGCCGTTCACGCGCGCCGTCTGACCTTCTTCCGTCTTTCTGTATCCTTGACCACAGATCTTTCTTTCCATCCCCCTCAAAAGCCACCTTTTGCCCCCCTTCGGCCGGCCCCCTTTCTCCCAGCACTATGCTCTACCGCTCCTTCTCCTCGATACCATCGTCCCTTTCAAGGGCCCCCGTCTTGAGGCTGTTTTTTGTAAGGGTCTGGTTATAACCCGGGTTATCGTCGCCCCCCCCCCCCCCGACACCCCACCCTGGAACAACCTCTCCCCCCTGTCGGTGGAACAGGTTCGGAGGGGGGGGGCCCAGGGAGCTCACTGGGAGCGCCCCCCCCCCCCCCCCTGGCTGTCCAGACAGATCCTCAGGCATTCCCAGACGGCGCCCGCGTCGCCGCAGCACGGAGAGTGGCCTCGCCGCAGCATCTCTAGCAGCTGTAGGGGCCGCAGCACTGGGGCGCGCGGGCATATGTGGGGCTGTCCACAGCGCGAAGGTAAGGTTCACTACCCACCAAACAACCCCAGCCCAACCTGAACCCAAGTTGACCTCCACTCCCAGTGGGGCGGGGGCGTCCCGGAACATGGAAAACACACAGATGGAACCCGTACGCCCCCCAACCCGACATTCGGGACTTCGGGGTTGGGTTGGTGTGGTCTGGTAGGAAGTCATACGTTATCGGCTGGCCCCTCCCCCCCGATCCAACAAAGCAGCCACTTTCGAGGAGCGGCGTAAACATACACTTTCGGAGCTCCCCGCGGATTGCTTGGATCGGCGCTTGGCCTCTCGGCGGCGCCTCCGGAAGCGCTCCTCGCCCGCCCCGCGCGCGTTGAAATGGGGGTTCAGCGCAGATCCAAAACATCCGTGCGGACCTACTGCAGGTGAGCGGCGCAAACGGGTCCAACTGCACCGACCTTCGCGCCCTTGCTGCCCGCGTAAGGTCGCGCGAAAGCGCCCTCGCTTCCGTTTCCAATCAAGTGTGCCGCGCCAGCGACCCGCGTAAGCCGCCGCGCAAGGTCGTTATGCCATCCCGCGCAGGGTTCGTCTCTGATCGTCGCTCGGAGGAGGAGGAAGAGGGGGGGAGGAGGAGGAGGAGGAGGAGGAGGAGGAGGAGGAGGAGGAGGAGGAGAGGAGGAGGAGGAGGAGGAGGAGGACGAGTTTAGGATTCTGCAGATGTTTGCTCCTTCAGTCTTTGCCTCTGCCATCAGCGTCACCCCAGCACACAGACGCTGCGTGTGCGCGGCGCCCAGAGGGGCGACGCGCGCGCCCCAGGCACCTTCTGTGGTAGATGCCCGGAGGCGGGCGCTCGTTGGCCAGGCCGCTCGGGAGGCGATGCGCTGCGGTCTGCTCGGGTCGGGCGGGCGTCCCGGCAGCCCTTTCTCACACTGTGGTGGTACCCCTCTCCGAGCTTCCCCCCCCCCCGAAGGTGGACGGGCATAATGCCCTCGTGCTCGCCCTGGGCCCCGTGGACTCGGGCAAGACGCACGCGATGCTGGGGGAGGGGCTCGAGACCCGCGGCGTGATCCCACGGAGATGCGCCCCGCTGCCTCGGTGCCGCGTCCATGGCCCGCGGGGAGGGCGGATTGGATGTAGTCAGTCACGGTAGCTTCCGCTCGTCTTGTTTTCAGGTGTATCGGAGAACAGCGCTCAAGAGCGCGCGCACCGCGTCCAACAGTGCCCAGTGGCGCTCAATAGTGCTGCATACCTTCTAAGAGCCCCCAGTGGCGGCCAACAGCTCCCGCTGTGCGCCATATGAGGGAGGCGCGTCACGTCCGCTTTGCACGCTATTGGGCTTCGTTGGACGCGCTGTTGGGCGCCATGGGGACGACCAAAAGCTTCTGGGAGGCGCTGTCTAATGGCGGAGTTTGGGTCGACGAAACACGTGGCATCAGTATTTGTTCCCCAGCGTCCGACGCGGGTCCAGGGTTAGGTTTGTGGTTACACCATTTCCTGCTCGCATTCCGCGTCTGCATAGACCCGGAATATTTTGCAAGTGGCTGCGCCCAAACTCAGTGCATTCACTCTTGCATTACTTAGCCACTGGTGAGCGTCCGACAGAGCAAATCGCATCCGGGGGGGGGGCTGGAGAGCGCGACCAGAAGGAGGGTGATAATGGCGACAGTTTGACAAATTATCGGCAGCGCCGCCTTTCTTCTGGACCCAGCACGCTCCTGCCCCAGATTGCGTCCGCTGGCCCGTGTTGCTGATGGATTTCGGCTATGATTTATTTAACGTCTAGACAACTGAGGATCGAAGACGCCTACTGCGAATCACCGCCGCCCCCTGCCTTTTGGAATCGCCAATATGGCCGAGCGTTGTGGCAAGGGCTCTACCAAGCTATCGGGCCTTCGCTCTTTCAGCCTTTGCAGAAGACCTTCGGGAAACACTCGGGGGAGGATGGTGGGGAAGATCAGCAGGAGGAGGAAGAGGAGGAGGAGGAAGAGGAGGAGTAGGAGGAGGAGGAGGAGGAGTAGGAGGAGGAGGAGGGGGGGGGGGGGCATCTTGGGAGCCTCTGGGGACACTCTTGGGGCCTCTTAGGAGATTCCTGGAGCCTTTTGGATGTATCTTGGGGGCCTCCCTGGGCCTCGCGGGGGCCTTTTGGGGCTTCTCGGAGGCCTCTCTGGCCATCTTAGGGCATTCCTGGCTTGTCTGACGCCGTCGGAAGCTGTCTTGGGGGCCTGGGCCGACTTGGGGCCCTCTTGGGGTGCTTCAGGGCCATATTTGAGGCCATCGTTGGCGTCTTCGAGGCCTCTTGAGCCGTCTTGCGGCCCTCTCGGGGCCGTCTTCGGGGCCTCTTGGGCCGTCCAGGGGCCATCTTGGAAGGCCGTGGGCGATCTTGGGGCGATCCATGGGGGCTCTTGGGCCGTCTCGGGCGCTCGGAGGATCGAAAAGAGACAAATGCCCAACTCCTTCAGAAGCCTCGGACAGTCAATGGCCGTATTGGAGACATCTTGGGGGCCTCCTGGGCCGTCTTGAGCTATCTTCGAGCCATCTTGGGCCGTCTTGATGGCCTCCTGGCCCGCCTGACGCCGTCGGAAGCCGTCTTGGGGCCCTCTTGGAGTGCTCCAGGGCCATGTTGGAGGCCATCTTGGTCGTCTTCGAGGTCTCTGGGGCTGTCTTGCGGCCCTCTTGGGGCCGTCTTCGGGGCTTCTTGGGCCGTTCTGGGGCCTACTTGGATGCCTCTTGGGCGATCTTGGGGCGACCTTTGGGGGCTCGTGGGCCGTCTCGGGCCGTCGGAAGGCCGAACGTGCAAAAACATAGGAACATGAATGATTTTGGCTTCTTCGGGCCTTCTTGGAGGACCTCTTGGAGTGCCTCTCGACGGCCTTTTGGAGGGCTCTTCCTCGGGGCCTTCTTGGGGGCTTCTTTCGGGCCTCTGGTAGGTCTCTGGGGACCTCGAGGGCCTCTTGGGGACCTGTTTGCGGTCTCGGGTCATCTTGTGGCGGAGAGCTCGAAATGTCAGTTTGTATTCCCTGTCTTGGGGCCGTCTCGGGCTCTTCTTGGGTTCTCTTGGGTCGTCTTAGGGGCCCTCTTTGGGTCCCCTCGAGCCGTCTTGGGGCCATCGAGGGGCCCTCTGGAGCACCAGAAGGGGCACCACGATTCCGACAGACTTCCCGTTCTCGATGCCCTGGATGCCTTGGATTGGGGGTGCCTGCTACGGGTGGCGGCAGTTGCCGCCGCTCCTCCGAGAGGGCACCGGCCCGTCTCGGCAGTCGTGGTGTCGGGAGGGGAGAACTGCACAAACACGGACACACGCTGATTGTCATGAAAGAAGCGAGCAGATTGGAAATGAAGGGGAAGAGGTCAATCCAGGAAGTAGGGTAAATAGAGGAGCCTCTGGGACCTGTATCGATTTCTTTGCCTCCCCGGGCCCCTTCAGAAGTCATGGGTCGCCTCAGCGTAGGGCGCTGTTCCTACAGCAGGCTCCAGAGACCGTTTTCTCCTGCCGATAGCGGCCGTGACTGGGTGGGGAGGGTGGACGCGGTAGGTAACGTCATGATTGGCGCCGGCGCCGTTTGGGATTATCTAGGAGCGGCGGATGCTCCGACGGCGCCAGCGCGAATCGGCCCTCGGAGCGAGTTTATGCAGCGTGCCGCCCGCGTTGGAGCGGCGCCTGAAGGAAGTCCAAACATGATACGGTGCATGGGCCCCGTCTTCGTACAAGACAGCCCAACAGGGCCCCAAGATGGCGCAAAGGGAGGCCCTGTATGTCCAAGATGGCTCCAAGACGTCCCCGAAGTACTTCCGTAGCCATTTTGGCTCAAGCCATCTTGGCAAAGCTCAAGCACTTCGCAAGCAGGCGTGGCTGGTCCTCCGCTTCCCCCCGTGGCGGCTTGCCGAGACCATGATCCGCCTCTTGCTCGCGCGCCGCGTGCACTTCCAGGAGAGGAGGCAGGCCAAGTCTCTGCTGTTCATCTCGAGCTGGGCCAACGACGCAGACCTCCTCACTGCCTTCGCCTTTGCTTTCGACAAGGACACGTGGCTGACTGGTGAGAAGAAGAACCCGCTGCCGGATTGGCTGGTGGGCGTCATCTGGGGCTGCCTGGGGCTCTCCTGCCTGTGCTGCTGGCTCGTCGCCCTGGACGGCATCGGCATGAGAACATGTTGCATCGCTCGCTGCAAGTGCAGAATCGGTGGGATCCTGATGTTCGACATACTGGCCGATGACGTTGTACAGATTGTACTATCATGGTTCGCCAGCGTCCATGAGGCCAGCGGTACTTTCACTTTCAACGGTAGCTTGGGAACGGCTGCTGCCATGAACCTCACCGCGGCGTTGTTTCAGTATCCTCATCGAGCTGGCAGAGGCTTACGAGGAGATGAACGAGAGGGTCTATGACCTGACGTCGAAGGCTTTGAGTTTTGAAAACACGCACATGGGCAAGCCTCGCAGCGGCGCTCGCAGTCAACCAGGAGGTGGAGCAGCTTGATCTAAGCCGTAACTGCATCACCGAGTTGTCCCCGCTGCGCGACGTGCTCGCCAAGAACAAGACGCTGAAGAAATTGTTTTTGTATTACAACTCCCACCTGTGGAGCATCGCGCCCCTCGTGGAGGGGCTGATCCGAGCGGGGACCGCGAGCCGCCTGGAAGTTCTCGACCTCGCGCGTTGTGGCCTCGGCGAGTTCGAAGTGCACCTCCTGGGGCATATGCTGGCCAAGAACTGCAGCCTGAAAGTTTTAGACCTGAGAATGAACGACCACATCACCAGCCTCGAGCCCCTTCATGACGGGCTGAAGAATAGCAGCCTGGCACGGTTAGGGCTCCCCCGCGATGTTTGGTATTCAGACACTGAGTGTGCAAGGCTTCAGGAGCTGAGGCCTGGCTTGACGATATGTTGATGAGTCGATGCAGAGCATTGATCCTCGGCTTGGGGGCGGCCCCTGTAACGAGCCCAGGCTGGTCGAGTATAGTTGGAATCGTGCCCTCATTATGTTGATGGCCCAGCCAGGTCGGATCCAATCCGCCAGGTTGGCGCGTGCCAGCCAAGTTGGACTTTTCAAGCCGCATCGATGTGATTTCCGCCCCGGGCCCAAGCAACTCGTCGCCTATCTGGCCAAGCCTGGTATATCGGTAGTCGGCCAAGCCCAATCCTGGCGCGCCTGCATTCGGCCCTTCTTGGCCGCGCGCATGAAAGGGGTTTCTCGAGAGTGGGCGGAGCTCGAAAAAGTCGGATGGCTTTTTTCAGACGATTGGGGCCCACTTAGAAGTGCCCGGAAAAGGTCCAGGAACGGCTCCTTAGAAGAGGGTACCAATTATGCGCCCTAGACGCGTCGTTGGCGCCGCCGCCTCGAGCGGGCCCCAGGCACCCGAGGCGCTCTTTGTCTCGTTGTGGGCCCCCTGGGGGGGCTCGACCCTTTCCCTCTGGCAGGCTCGACCCGTTGCTCAGGGCCGGTCTTCAATCGCGTCGCCGGCGGCGCGAGAGCTGTCCGAACAAAGCACGGGGGCGGTAGCCAAAGCTCCGGGAGACCCCCGTCGAGCGGGCCCCCCCCCTGTCGGACAGCCGATTCAGGCGCGCAGTTGGCGCCGCCGCCTCGAGTGGGCCCCGGGCGCTCGAGGCTCGACCTTTCCCCGGCAAGCCCGACCCTTTGCACGGGGGCGGTCTTGTATCGCGTCGCCGGCGGCCCGAGAGCTGCCCGAACAAAGCGCGGGGGCGGCGGCAGAAGCTCCTGGAGACCCCCGTCGAGCGAGCCCGTTTCGGACGCGTCGCAGAGGGCGAGAAGAAAGAAAAAACGTCCCCGAAGTACTCTAAATCGTGGTCGGATCGTTGAGGGAGATCGGGCTTCGCAGCAAGGTGGCCCGAGAAACCCCCCAGAGGCTCCCACAAAGCGCCCAGGAGGCCTATAGAAGGCCCCCACCTAAAAGGAAGAGCCTCCGCTGACAAAAACTTAGAAGAACAGGGAAGAGTTCTCACGGCAAGGCGAGAACCAGGAAGAGGGAAGGAGGCATAATCACATGTTGTAGCGACGACGACGGCGACGAACAAGACAAGGAGCTATCGCTCTCTCAATCCGCCCGCAGGTCGAAATTG